TGACGCACGCTGAAAACGCATGTCTGCCTTTCAGTGTATATCTACCTGACGCGTACCGTCTCGACCCCTTGCCTCTCTCCAATGTCATTCTTTCATATCTTGAAAACTGTACGTCCGATATATAATTTCCATCATCGACCCATTCTCTAATCCACAACCAGATCCTCTTGCACGGTCAATACGCCTGCATCTACCCAGCTGCTTTTGATCCAAAAAACGAACGACGTATGTCCTGCCCACATCCTAAACACACCTCTCTTTGAACTCTGCTCAGGTCAATGCTACGACTGGTTCTGGAGCAAGGTGCTGGGCAGTGGGCAGTCCGACACCATAACGCGTGTAGAGGTGACGACTTCCGACAAGGTGGTTCTCAGATGTGCGCTATTTTTACGTGGCCACGATGGTTCGGATTCGGATTCGGACTCTGATTTGGTAGGCGTTCCCTCCAGGTTCCAGAGCCTTGTTGACTTCAGCTCTGCAGCCTCCCCTCGCCACGGTTATTCTCTTCCATGGAAATGCGTGCCATTGGTGGGACTGTGCTTCTCTTGCTCATGCATTTTATGCAAGGCGCTGTAACGTTCTGATGGTTTCATACCGAGGGTAAGTATTGTGGTTATTTTACTCTAGGTGTCATGTCTTCATTCTTGAAAGATATGGAACTTGCGATGGTTCGCCTTCCGAGAAAGGTAGATACGGTTAAATTCCCCTCTTTGTCCCCCGTCAATTGAAGATTATAATCTAGGTCTGAGGGAAGACGCGCAGGCGGCGCTAGATTACGCATTAGCTGATGAACGACTTTCTCAAGTACCAATTGTACGCGTCTTTCACACGCGAGCGTAGCATTGAAGCTCACCAGGCACTGTCAAGGTCGTATACGGTCACTCATTAGGCGGAGCTGTAGCCATCGACCTCGTTAGCCGAAATCCCACCAAGGTGCGCTCCCAAAGCATCGCCGGCCCTTCCACCTAAACCTTTCATACAGGTATTCGCCCTCATAGTGGAGAATACATTCCTCTCTATACCCAACATCGTCCGAGGCTGGACCGTCCTCCGTCACTTTGCTTGGGTCGTCCATCAGAAATGGGATTCCGAGTCTAAGATCTCGTCCATACCTGGGCCGCTGCCGCTCCTCATGCTCAGCGGACAGATGGACCCTGTCGTTCCCGAAGAGCATATGAAGAAACTGTGGGAGCTACGCTCACCTGGCGACTTGGATACGTTCAAGTCTTTCCCTTCAGGTGGACATGGTAGGAGAACTCTTCGCTTTTTACGTGCCGAGTGGGCGCTGATGATCTGGCCATAGAGCCTAGCGCGGCAGAGCCACACTATTGGAACACGATTGAGAAGTTCCTTACTATTGTACTCAGGACGCAGAAATCTGCTACCTCTACTTCATGAGCAGGCCTCGTGAGAGAGCATACATTCTCAATGTTTTACCGTTCGCTTTATATGTATAGTATACAAAGCCCATGTCCCCTAACGTTATCTGTACACAGTACATATGATACATATAAGAATCCGTCACAATGCTACATTATTTGAAACCTGCGGAGCGCTACTAGAATGCACCGATAAAGTCCCACTCTCTTCTGACCTCCTACTACCACCATCAGTTGAGGGTGCCGTCTGACCGCCGAACCCCAACGCCCATGCCAAGTCCAGCTCTGCCCTCAAATACGCAATCTCACTTCGCATCCCGTAAATCTGTTTGCGCAAACGATCATCACCAGCACCCTGACTCTGCTCCGAGCTCAACTTACTCCGCAACGACGCCTCGCGTCTCAGACGCGTGACAAATTCCTGCAGCTCTGACTGCGTAGCAGCTGGTGGGAGAGGGAAAGAGAGGAACGTCAAGTTCTCGTTGGTAGTCGTGGAATACAAGGACAGATCTGATGTCCCCAGACTCTGCACAGCAGTGGGAACGTCTGGCGTTCTTCTGGATATCACTGACAAGTGCCTGACTTCTCTGTCTGATGCCAACGGTTTAGGCGATGTAAAGGTGAGACGTTGATCGGGCGTTACTATGATGACTGGCGAGCGTGGATCAGGGCTGGAAGGCGGTTTCGCATTCCTTGGCTTGGCCCGTGCGCGTTGGAGAAATAAATATAGAATAATTCCTAGGACACCGAGGAAAGAAGTCGCCCCCAGGGCGAGATTGATCATCTGCGTGATGATCATCATGCTGGATGCAGAACATTCAAACTAACATCAACGGGTGGACTGGAAAGACTAACTGATCTGTAGATGCACTGGTTGAAGAAGACGGCAATTCGGGGCTACTTGCCCGAAGATCGAAAGGTTCGCTCTCAGCAAAGGGCGTGTCTGCGTCAGGCCTGAGTATCCGCACCGTTAATCATGTCGATAAAGAATAGAAGCGACTGACGTACTCGGAGTGAAGGAGTGCACGAATGATACAGTTCCTGTGTCAGATCCGTCAGAGAGAAGCAGGCACAAACACTGACGGGACTCACCCTAAAGAAACGATTGATATATCTTCAGTCGTATCGGACGTAAAATCGGCGACGTCGGAAACAGAAACGTCTGTTTTCCCGTTATTCGTGCAGTACATGGATAGGTAGAAGTTGGTAGGATCACCCTCTGACTGAGCCAGCGACACGGAGACAGTGTAGCCCGTCTGCACATTGTCAGGGACAGAGGCGGTGATATTGAGTCCAAATGGCCTGATGGGAATGGATCTGCATGTGGTACAAGGATGAGAGAAAACGTCTTTAATACAGCTGCAAAACGACGCACAATATGAGCATGAGCAAGCCATACATGGGCCCTCCAATGAAAACCAGAAAGAACAAAGTGCCAAGCGGACGTGAGAAAATAGGGAACGACAAGGCGCAGAGCAAGGAACGACAGGGAAGGGTGGATCTAGTGAATGGTCATGCCATGCTTATATGTATGGAGGCAGGATGGGAATATGATCACAGAGATGGTTGGGAGGACACTGATCATCTTTCTACATTCCGTGCGACTGTTCAGCTGTTTTGAAGAGATATGTTCGGCGCCTCCTCTCAAATTGAAGTCGGGTCTCAAAGAAGAGCAAGCATAGGTAACGAGGATATAAGCAATGTCATAATTGAGACACAGACGCTGGCGGCTACGGATGTCGAAGCGGGAGAAGATTGAACTCCTTGATGATACAGCTTAGCCTTGTATACAAGTATCAGCGATTGAAATCACTCACCGAATCAATTAATCATCGCTTGGGCGGCTATCCTATTCCCCATGATATCTTCCAATACATCATTGGTCCAGAATGTTCAAATTTTAAGTGGAGGTAGCGGTGCACATCTCCTTGAGGTGTTCCGATCGTTACGAATCTAACACAAATCCGATGATGATGGCCAGCTGGACATTAAAACAGTAGGAGGAGGAACATGCTGGGAATGCCATAGCATCGGTAAAGGGGTATTACCACGAATGAATCTATTTCGTCCAGAACATAAAAGAGTGGTTGTGAAGTTGGAAGTCAGAAAGACGCTGAAACGATGCAACGCCCTTAGCCCAGGAGCGAGTTCGGTCCGGGAACCCCGAATTTTGCCCCTGCAAACATTTCCCGAGTCGTACAAAACTCTCACACCGAAAAACATATCTCAGCATATGTCTGGAAAGAGGAAAAGTAGACGATCCAGAGCCGTTCATCGTCGTGAGCGTTGTGTACTGTATGATCCCTGCAACAAGGACGGAAGGAAGCTTCCTGGTGCGGCGAGGTTCTTTCGAATACTAGTGTCAGAGTCGGCACATCTGATGTAGAAAATGAGGTGTGAGCGAAGGATCGCGAACAGTGATGACGTTGATCATTGGCCCTCCGAAAATGAAAGAGTAGGCCGATGGCTATACGTGATGAACCAGAGGCTTACCCTTGATTGATGATCGCCTGGTCACTAACCCACGAAAGCACGGAAAGAAGGCAATACAGAAGAAGGTCGTTTTGCACATCAGGAGCGAGATCCTTGAGGATGAGGACGCGTGCTGAGACTTTGATGCCGACCGGAGATTTAGTGAGTCAGAAGAATGCGTCATTCGAATTTGTTCAAGGTAAAGAACTAGAAATACAACATGGAGACTTGTCCTGTACGTCGAAACAATCAACTGTGCAGGGAACCAAGATTTATTAAACATTCAAGTAACGATACTTTGCACGTACAATATGTGTCTACGGGCACTTTCTACCAATGCAAACGATGATTCGGGCACTGGTACCCATCGGGGTTCTTGAACAGATATAATTGGTGGTATTCCTCCGCGTCCCACCAAGGCCCGGCCTCGACGATCTCTGTGACGATCGTCCTTCCTGACGGCGTAAAATGTTTCTCCTGCACCTCCTCCGTCACACGTCTGGCAACGGTCGCTTGCTCGGGCGAGTGTGTGAATATGGCAGAACGATATTCTATCGGGATGTGAGGAGGACGCAATAGATACGGAATGAGACGCGTACGTGTACCGGTATCCTTGCCTTGGCTGTTCAAAGTCGTTGGGTTGTGTGTGCGGTAGAAAAACTCTATCGTTCGTATTAGGTCAGGCTTGACATCGAGAAGGATAACGACCTACCAACGAGCTCATCATATTCCACTACAGCGGGGTCAAATTCGATATTGACCGCCTCTGCGTGGTCCGTCGAGCCTGTACAGACAGTCTTGTAGTCCGGGGTCGTTGCGTCTACTTTGCCGCCAGTGTAGCCCACGGTGGTGCTGATAATCCCTTTGCCCTCGGGGTAATGCTTGAGGAAGATATGCTGGACGCCCCAGAAGCATCCTGAGGCGAAAGTGGCTATTTCGGTTGACATTGCTGGTGGATGTTATGCAACGATATATCATCCCAGGGGTAGATATACTACGCGCATACGAGATGAGTAATACCTCCAAGCAATCACTGCAATTCGCGCCATGGATGACAGAGATGAGAAATATTTTCACGTGCTAGTCAGTTGTTGCCTATCTATCTGATTATCATACTCCTAATTGGATTTGGCACCCATAAATCCCCTCGGGTCGATGGCGAAGTTGGTTATTGCATCCGTCTCACATCGGCATGCATTGGTTCATTCATGCACGGAAGGTCCTCAGTTCGATCCTGGGTTGACCCATGGGATGTTCATCCTGGTTAAATTTTTATCTTCCAAAAACTTACTTAGGTTGCGCAATGCGAACTCGTGAGTCGTAGACTCGTAGCTGCTTATTTTAACTTAATAAAGGTTTGTAGGGATTTCACTGTTGCTGAAAGTAACGAGTAAGGGATGGGGGTTTCTTTTGCTACCGGTGTCCCCTGGATTGTGAATTAACATCATGCATTCACCTATCAAGTCAAGCCAGCTCCGTTTTGGATTCGACGACTGCAGCAGTCCAAGGCAGACATTGAGGAAAGATACCGCTCATACTACATATGCGTTGGGATACGACTGCGGGATGAATCAAATAAACTCTTGATGAATAGCACACATGACAACTGAGGCCACGCTCCTCATTGGCCAGGACTGTAGGCGCTGTGATCCTTCCATGCAACAGTCACAGTGTCATACCGCCCGCTTCATATCTGATACACTGATGTGTTACCAAGCGCCTATGGGTCCAGTGGTCTAACCAATGAGAAGTGATAATTGTTTCCGTCGAGGTGGTGATTTGCCAGCCTCCTGAGGAAGAGTCTGGCGGAGGCCGAATGATAGACCGTCATATTGACGAAGGAGATACGAGTTTTCCCACGAATATTACTTCACCACCGCACGCAGATGCATTCCAGTCTTATTATACACAGGATGAAGGACGCGGATTTGTCCTTTAGGACGAGTTACGCAGAAAATCGATATCTCTACGCAACACCCATCCAAGTCCCAGTGCTTAGAGACGGGTTATTTGTCCAGGCTATACGGTCCTCAAAATACCACAGACGACGACTTAGGAAAACGCTACTCGTCCGCACAGCCTCGTCGTAGGAACGGATAGGAAAGGTGACCCCAAGTCAACGCTTCCCACTCCACGCCTTCCAAACGTATAAAGACTCTCGCCATGGGATCAGTCCAGCGCAAAATCTACTCCGTACTCTCTCTGCTGGCCAGAGAATACCACCAATGCACATAACAATCCCTTTCCTCATTTCGGTGCTCGCTGTCTCTGCGAGCGCGGCTAGACTCAGATGGAGGCAAATTGACCACTCCACTGATTCGACGACAACCGAAGCTTCCACCACGACTTCCCCTGAAAGTACCACCGAAACATCTTCCACCGACAGTACTACCACAACCTTTTCCACCACCACCACCACCACCATAAGCACCTTCCCCACCAGCACGACGACGACGACGACCTCTTCTCCATCGTCCAGCTACGCACCCCCCGGGTCACTCATAGGAAGAGCGATGGGTTCAGATGATACTGGCGAGGAGTACACATGTACGTGTACGCCAAAGTCAAGTATCAGGACACACATTGGGATACCCATCCAGACGGGCGGTGTCAATGAGAAAGGGATCTGAGGGATAGTTTAGTTGTGTATAGTGTGAAATGATAATGCTTTCGCCGTACCTAATATGATGGTTGGCGTCTACAAAGATGTTGCTAGCAGCTAAGGAATCGTTGGGGCCCGGGCAGTGGGTATTAAGTCATCTTGCAGTGGAGTAGAGAGAGAAAGCAGCGAGTGCGATGCACAACTATGAAAAATGAAGCAATCCATGCGACAGAATAAGGCGTCTACTCTGACCCTTCCTCGTGGAAGGTAGATGCAAGTCGACCGGTGTCAAAGAGCTGTTCTTGAGCAGTAGTTCACTTGTAGACTTGATACTGGGCGATGAGTTAACATTGGATTGCGAATTTATGGCCGGAAAGTCAAGCAATGATCATGATCATAGTTGTTATGGACGACGTTGGAAGTGGTGGCTACGGGGCGACATCGAAGACGTGCTTGTCTATTAATATAATGAACTGGTCTGTGGGGGTATCGTGAGTAAAGGGTAATCGAGCGACACCAGTGAGATAGATTACTGACCGCACATAAGTAGACATTTCATCATCGAGACGATCATGATGCAGTACATCCATCACGATAGCAGCACGGTTGCTGATGGCGCTCTCCACACTCTACCGCACCGCCGCCATCTATTATCGACCCGCTGAAGTCGTATAAAAGCCACTTCCATGCAACACAATACTCCAACTTGACGTTCACTTCTTCCCTGCCGGCCAGGGATAGACAAACAAAGCACTCTTCTTCATCACACCTCTCGCAACTTCTTTCTCCATCATGCAGCCCATCTCGATCTCCTTCCTCGCCATCGCGCTCAGCCTCGCAGCCGCCAACGCCATGCCCGCCATGGAGAACGCCAACGGCATCGCCGCGCGGCTCGCCCCTCCCCCCAAGACAGGCAGCGGTAGCAGTAGCACTGGTTCTACCGGCGGCTCTAAACCGGGCTTTGGAGGAGACTCAGACTCGAGCATGGACATGTCGGACTCCTCATCGCAAACAACACTGACGTGCACCTGCAAGCCTGCGAAAGGCAAGGGTCTGGGAAGTAGTGGGTTGGATTCTACCGCGCTGAGACGTCGCGCCAAAGGCTCAACTGGTCCTTCGGACTCGGGACCGACGTCGGATACAATGGGTGGTGGCGGAAAAGGCGCAGAAGGGGGGAAGCAGAAGTACACCTGCGAGTGCCAGCCTGGAAGCGGGCTTGATTCTGAATCGCCTCTGGGGGACGATCCTTCCAGCAGTGACCCTTCTATGGGCGGCGACTCGTCATCTCTTGGGGGCGATTCGTCGTCTCCTGGAGGTGATTCATCGTCTCTCGGCGGTGGCTCGTCATCTTTTGGAGGTGACTCGACTTCGACGGGAAGTGATCCATCCTCTGACGATCTTGACTCGACTTCTACGGATGAAGAGGAACCGATGGGCGATGAGGAAATGTAGGAAGCGAGTAGAGAAGGAAGGACGGAAGATGGATATCCCTGGATTGATCATTTCAGAGCAGCGTCCACTCCCGAGTTTGCTCTGTATCCTGTCCAGTATTTCTTGAATCCAAGCGTGTGCGTTGAAACAAACTGACTTAGAATCAACGAAGAAATAGCCCGTTACGGCTGCCGGAGTCGATGTCTCGTATTCACTGATACTCCAGGAGATTGAGCAGGCGACTGCCGCATTTTCCGTAGCTGCAAGGCAAGACAAAAAAAGCTACGTTCTATTCATCTGCATGAGTATACAAACATCGAAGACAGAAAAGAGACGCACTGGATTCCGGCACCACCAGTCACTCCCTCCTTCAGAGGCCCTTGTATCCTATCCAAAATTTCGTGAATCAGAGCATATGCTCTGTAACAAACAGACTTGAGATATTGAGTACCGCGACGGCAACGATTGAGAACGAAGAAATAGCTTGTTACAGCTGCCGGAGTCGATTAAGTCTCGTATCCGCCTTGACTCCGATTCTCGATGTTTGCTCCGGGTAGCTACACGGGCGAGGGCTATCTTTTCCGTATCTAACGCTATAGTATCCATCTGCATGAGTATACATGGTACAAACATCGAAGACAGCAAAGAGACGCACTAGAATCCGGCCCCTCGCAGCTATTAGGTTGCGGGGTGCATACACCTTCAAGGAGGATCCACATTGCAACATTCGATGTGTCTGCATGATACAGCGTTAATCGTCGTCCAGAGGAATGACACGGTATAAGGGAGACATGCAGCGTGGGAAGAAAATGTTGGGATTGACGGAACATCGGGCCGTCCACCTCTCAGTTTCCCCTGCGTGTACTTTTAATCTCCCAGTCCCATAACGGTGGCCGAAGGGCTGTATTTTCTGCATTGGCTAGTGAACTTTCGTAACCAAGAAAGTTTTCAATGAAAAATACTTATCACACCCGCTGCCCCGCATGGTTATTAGTTCGCAACTGGCTTCTTCTGCAGCATGATTGTGTCATTCAAACATAGACATACATGTTCTTCAGGGAAGTCATAATGCCGGTAATCTATTAGATCCCTGTCATCCATTTTCAAGGTACGATCTCAAGTATATTTCTTCTGTACTTTTAACTACCGGGTCCAGTACAGAACTTCTTAGATGTGCTGCTATTTAAGATTCCTGATGAGGCGCATTGTATCCTACCAATGACCACGGCGCTTCTGTCGTTTTGCGTTCCCCACCGCCCTAAAGATGAGTCACCAGTCCTAGTGCGCGTTTATGGAAAATGCTTCACCATCCTGTAGATCGCTTCGGCTGGTCCCCGATCAACAAGTTTTCTCTCCCTGCCTATATGAAAGCAATGCGAGTCAGTATCATACCCCCAGCTCCTACCCAGCCATGTACTCATGCTCGCTCCCCCTAGTGCATCGTCTATTCTCGTGTGAAGCCTGCGAACGGGCGTTCAAATCCCAAACCTCGCTAGACGAGCACTACCGCGGTTCGCCCAACCACCCCAACTGCTTCGTATGCGGTCGGGGATTCAAAAATCATGACCTATGCGATGCCGTGAGTTCGTTCATCTAGTACACGGCCGAGTTCCTCCTGTTCAAATTATCTTATAGCACCATGACGAGGCGCATCCCCGTGTTGTTTGCTCCATCTGCAGGACTACGATGTATGAACACGAGCTCCCCCAGCACCTCAAGGATTCCCCTCGCCATCCCACCTGCGAATTATGCCCGGATGCCCTAGGATTTGAGAGCGATGCGGAATTCAGTTTGGTATACCACTCATTTCTCATTGATTCATGTCCGCTTAGTCTCTGTATAGCACTGCGAAACGACGCACGCTGAATCGTACTGCGTCAAGTGCCGTCGTGTATTCGACAATGTCAAAGGACACTACTTGGAATCAGTGGTCCACCCAAAATGTGAGTGGTGCCAAGACCCTGTGGGGTTCGCAGGTGAGAGGGAATATATTGAGGTATGCAGTTCATGTTAAGCCGTTCTTACAGACGCTGACTGAAAATCTAGCATGTCAAGACTATGCATTTCGGAGCCATGAAGGTGCGCTGTACCATTTCGGTGATTTGGTTCCCAGTCCTGAAGAAAGTTCACTTAGTTACCAGAGTCTACACCCTCTATGACGGGTTCTCCGTATCTCCATATCGTGCGTACTTTGCCATTCGTATATACCATCCA